ATGGTCCACACAAGGGCTGCACGCAATGTGAACATCTCGTTCTGATGAGCATCGAAAACGGAAACCCCTTCGTCCCACATCTTTCTCAAGTCGTCAATAAGCGGCGCAAGGTAAACATCTATGTCGTTTCCAGGTTGCTTAGGACCAGTTATTAGCAATGAAAGTAATACATACTTACGTTTCATGCACAGCCAAGGAGGCAAATTATAAATCACTAAAAGTACCGGCCATGTGCTGTGTTGGGTACTAAGAGTGCCAAATGGATTCATCCCGTCCGTGCACAACCCAAGCCTTAAATTTCTGACTTCATTATCAAATTCCTCAAACTTCAAATCAATGTTCTTCCACTGTGGAGAGTCAGCTGGATGCTTCAGCATTCTGTTTTTCTTTCTTCCCTCTGCATGCCACCTCAAGTTTTTAGCGTCTTTTGGTATTGAGAACAGACGCTTAAACCTTGGAATAATGGGAAGATACCACAACACCTTAGCAGGAGGTCCCTCCGTGCCAGGATTGCAACTCATGCGCTTGTACCGCGACCGCTTGCATCATGGACACTCCTGCAGTTTTTCATACTCATTTCGATACAAAATACAGTCATTAGGACATGCATGTATCTTCTTATACTCCAAACCAAAGGGACACATGAGCTTCTTTGCGTAATAATAAGACTTAGGAATTTCATTCCCATCAGGCAACATATCACTTAATGCGGTCAACAAAGAAGTAAAACGGATGTTCGTCCACCCATGCTTCGACTTAATGTTGAAAAGTGTTAGCACGGCCGATAGTTTGGAGTATTTTTTGCACCCGGGATACAAAGGCTTTTTGGAAGCCTCCGATAATAATTCAAACACTTCACCTTCAACACCATGCAACATCTCATCCACTTTTTCATCCTCGACCTCATCCGCCTGATCTTCATCGGCTCCATCGTCACCATTATCAACAATATACTCATCATTCTTGTATTCCTCGTCCACATGAATCTCATTGATTCTAACACGCACATCATTCCGATCAAGATCCCCACTGTACTCTCCACTTTCTCCGTGCCAAATCCACACATGGTATAATTGCCTAAACCCACGACATAATACATGATCTCTAATGATTTCAACACTATCGACCACATTCACATTATTACAATCAACACAAGGACAATAAAGGTCTTTGCCTCCCAGTTTGCGTTGATAAGCTAAAGCCCTCTCGCAAAACTCTTGAACCCCATTCCAAAATTCCAATGTATCGCGTCTACCATACATCCAACCACGATCCTTCTCCATTTAGTAAATTGTCTCTAAACATATATAGCACCATATAATTATAATGTGTAAGTGCTACATATTTTATGTAAATCAAATTCAAGTACAAAACGTGAATATACCATTCATATAGTGAAAAAATGCATGTTTCCAAAGGGTCCTTATCACTCCAACCTAACCCATCCTTGAATGTCTACTCCCACTACTGAATGTATGTCAACTTTCCAATTTTAAGGAAAATCCGGAAGCTTTCCCCCTAGTTCTCCAAGTACACGATGTAGATAATTAATTACCCACATATGTACCCAAAGAACATAGTGAGGAAATGGTAAGCCAAGATGTTCCTTAAAATCGAAAAGAAAACATAAATTCACCACCTAAGTGAGAGTACACATTCAAGAACAGTCCCAACCGGGGACTATTCAAGACTTTCTCCTAATGAGAAAGCCTTGAACGGGTATCTAGGCATATGATGATGCAATTCAAGTATTCTATATATTGTTGTATTTATTTGCAATTAAAAAATACACAAGTTGCAATTTCATGAATAAACTTTTATTAAATGGATAAATAGAAAAAAATATAGCTAAGTAAAGTTTATAAGTCATACCAATATACCAACTACCCACTTGAGCTCAATATGTAGTCCTCAAGCTAATTAAACTCGTGCTTCAATTCACAAATCTGTTAAAAAAAAAAACAATATACAAAAATTAGGTTAAATATAAGGTATTTACTATTTCTTTCTCATAACATGTCAATTCACTAATCTATTTATAAGCTAAAACACATCATTCATTGAACTAACAATTGCTAAACTAACAAGGTTACTAATCTCTAATTTTTTCAAAATTACCCATCAAAACAACTTAAAAGTAACCATTCACCCATTCCAAAATTCATCTACTTTAGTAACAAGCAAGGTTACTAATCTCAAATTAATTCAAATATACCCATCAAAACAACTTAATATTAACCATTTAAACATTCCAAAATTCAACTTATTTAATAACAAAGTTAACTAATCTCCAACTTATTCAAAATAATCCATCAAAACAACTTCAAATTAACCATTAAAAGTAAAATACCAAATTTCACCTATTTAATAAAGTACCAAGGTTAATATATTTTCTATAATTATTTCAAAATTATCCACCAAAACACATTAAATTAACCATTAAAACATAATAAAATCCAACTAATTGAGTAACAAGGATACTAATCTCTAATATTTTCACAATTTCCCAATTATATTCAAACCTTAAATTGAGAAAAATTATATTCAAACCTAAATTTTAATTTACTAACAATGGTTCAAAATGCAAAACAAATTAATATATATAATTATATAATTGGAAAATAATGTAAAAAAAAATTAAAAATAAACCTTGAGACAATTAGGGCAGCAGCTAGGAGGAGACTCGGTGGTGACCCTCAGGCCGGTGGCGCGGCTCGGTGGTGGAGGTGCCTCAGGGGGGTGGCGCAACTAGGTGGTGGAGGAGAAAATTAGGGCAGCAGCTAGGAGGAGACTCAGGGCACTCACGGCAAATGGAGGACCCTCAGGCTGGTGGCGCGGCTCGGTGGTGGAGGAGCCTCAGGGGGGTGGCGCGGCTAGGTGGTGGAGCAACCTCAGGGCGGTGGAAGGATTTTTCGAACTATGTAGGTGGTTTTCGAAAGAGAAAGAAAGGAAAAACAGAGAGAGGAAGGATTGAAGGCGGCCGGTTTTCGAAACCTCTGGTGGCCGCCAGTGAAGGTGACGGCTGTGGTGGAGGGAGAGAGAGGAAGGATTGAAGGATGTTCTTTGCCCAGCTCTAATGAAACAGTAAGCTAAGGAATGAAGGAATGAAAGAGAAAGAGAGGAAGGAGAAGAAGTAAGCCGCAATTTTTTTTTTTTGAATTGGGTCCGGTTCAATTGGGTCAGGTTCAATTGGCACCGGTTCAAACCGGTGCCTTTTTTAATTTTAGGCACCGGTTCAGGCCAAACCGGTGAATTTTCTCTTCTTCTAAAATCCCGCAGTTTTGGCCACCGGTTTGGCCTGAACCGGTGCCATATAGGGGGTGCCTATTACTATTTTTCTACTAGTGTTAGGGCATCGCCCGGGAACAAAACTAGGTATATAGGGGTTTATTCCCAAGATTTTAGAGAGTCATGTAGGATTTTAATTTTTTAAAAATTATTATAGCGCCGGGTAAGATTAGTATTCTTAAAGCGTTACGTATAGGATTATGCCATATAGCTAGGATTATTATTTTAAAGCGCCACATAGTATTAAAATTAAAGGTATATATTTATTATAAAAATAAAATATTATCTTTTAAAATTGAAAACTTTATCTAAAAAAATCTAATATATATATATATATATATATATATATATATATATATATATATATATATATATATATATATATATATATATATATAGGGGAGTATTTTACCGAGTTTTTAGAGAGCCATGTAGGATTTAATTTTTAGCGAGCCATGTAGGATAATAAATTTTAGTGGTAGCCAATTAAATACAAGATTATTAATTTCTTTTAGAATTAAATAATTTATATGACACGTAAGCAAAATTGGGGAATGAGATTTTTCAGTTTAAATTAATTAAATATAAAATATTATCTTTTACACACACACACATGTGTGTGTGTGTGAGATAGATTAACGATTGATTTACAAAGGATTATGAAAGCTTGGAAGATTTAAAATTTGTGTATATGTGTGAACCTTAATTGTATAAAAATTTAAAAATAGTAATATTGAAAACATATTAATTAGTAGATTTCAAAAACTCTCTCAAAAATACCCTAAAATTTTCTCTATTATTGCAATCAAAGGAAAACTTAGGGGCTGCCATCGACTTTTATTGATGGTAAGCCTCAAATTCTTTCTTAATTTAATGTTTTTAGCCAATAAAGATCACCAACAGTATGATGATTATAGTCAGTCACTTTGTGTAGGGTTTTGTCAGTCCCTCCATGTAGGGTTTAGTATTGTTTGTTTGTTTGGTTTTAGCTTTTGCAGGGATACAAATTTGGAAGATTCGTCTTGTAAATTTGTAGAATTGCGGGTATGTTGGTATATGGGTGCAGATTTAGAAGATTCGTCTTGCAAATTTGCAGATTTTGATAACCAATCAAGTTTTATCACTTTTGCAACTATACATCAACGGAGCTCCGTCAAAAACGATGCAAAGACATTTAAAATTATCCAGGAGCAGTTCAGATTTCAGAAGCGATGCCATTAGTTTACGAGTGTCTAATTCTTGTATTGAGAATTTCGATATTTTTAAGGGATGATTGTAAGTGTCGAATGACTATTATTAATTATTTAATGAAATCACCCCTTCCTATTCATTCAAATAAAAAAAATAGTAACACTATGTATAAATATTTTGTTATTTCGTTTAAATATTAAGTGTCAAGAGTAGTAATACAATATAACACCCGAACCACACACTAGTTATTATGACGAAGATGTAGTATAATACTTGGCACATGTTTAATTTGTTTTTCATTCCTCTCTTTCTCATCTCTATCAATATCAATAATCAATAATTATATGTTTAACAAGTAACCTTGCTCTTTAATTACTACATACATCTGTCACAAGACTCACAACTAACTCATTACGGTAATGGCACATGATATGCATCAAAATGTCAATGTAATTGATTATTAATCAAATAATCAATTAATTATATCGTACATGTAGCAGTTTAAGCCATAATCTTACATCCTAACGCTTAGATAATATGTAAAACTATGTCATTAGTTGATTTAGAATATAAACCAAAGAGGGAAAAAAACCAAACAATTCAAACACCCAAGAACAAAGAGAAAAATAATTGAAAACATGAGAATATTACTAAAAATATGGTCAATTATCATGGCATTAATCCCTAGTTGGATTTTAACCATGCCATTATTCCTAGTCCTAAAAAAGAAACAAGAACAAGTGCAAAAAATGGCATTTGTGAACTTGTTTTCATCAACATTCAAGATGATGGAAGGTAATAATATTGAAGGTGATGGTGAGCTACCAAAGGGGCTACGACCCGAGCTGATGCCGGGGCATGTGGCCTTGATATTGGACGGGAATCGAAGGTGGGCTAAGAAGAGAGGCCTTGTCCCTGTTGATGGCTATGAAGCTGGTCTTGGGACTTTAGGGGAGATTTTAAATTTGTGTCGAAGATGGAACATTCCTATTGTTTCACTTTTTATGTTCTCTTCTGAGAATTGGCTTCGTCCAAAGGTAACTTTAGTCTCTAAGCGCAACTTTGTTCTCTTCACCTATGATCCATGCTAACGTTTGTGTTTTATATATTTAGTTGTAATTTGAACTTGGATAACCTATCTAATTGACCTGAGCTCAACTTAATTATTTTTACTATAGTAATCTAATTTGAACTTATCTATAAACTTACAATACTTGAATAGAAATATGGTGAACATTCATAATTGGGTGTATGAAATACATAGAATTATGCTTTAACAAATTATGAATTGATTGTACTATTAGAAAATTAGGATGTTTAAAAGGATATTTTGTGAAAAAATACCTTTTAAACTTTGAATTTTGCGAAAAACTACCCTAAAAACAAAATGTTATAATTAACTACCTTATAAAGTATAAAATGTTGTAATTAACTACCTTATAAAGTATAAAATGTTGTAATTAACTACCTTATAAAGTATAAAATGTTGTAATTGACTACCTCCCACCGGAATAACACATTTGATTTTTATTTTCCAATGTTGAACATGTCGTGTGAGGGTCACATGACCCTTTAATGACTTAATTCCTCCCTTTCTCCCAAATTTTCCAGCTTTATACCAACTATTTTCCTTAATAATACGATTAATCATATTTTATATTGTTTATTTACAACCCCTTTGATAATTATATGGGCTGAATTGGTGTAAAGCGGGAAAATTTGGGGAAAAGAGGGGGATTAAGTCATTAAAGGGTCACGTGACATGGTCAACGTCGGGAAATAAAAGTCAAATGTGTCATTCCAGTAGAAGGTAGTCAGTTACAACATTTTATATTTTAATTATAAGGTAGTTAATTACAACATTTTGTCTTAGGGTAGTTTTTCGCAAAATCTAGAGTTTAAAAGGTAGTTTTTCACAAAAAAAAATCCTATTTAAAAATATTAAAAAAAAAATCCATACTCATATATTACTACACTAGTAATCAAATACGAATTGAAGTAAAAGTTTTTCAAGTGATGAAAATCATGAAATGTATATCCTATCTCTATACAATAGCTTTATCAATATTCTATCCCATAATAAAAGTCTTTTGGTAACCAAGTTTGAATTGCTTAGCTTGGTGGTGATGGTGGGTTGCAATATCACCTCGCATCGTGACTTTGAGGTCACAAATTTATGAACTCTATCATAATTACCTTCAGAATTTGCATGGCATTTAGGAGTAGAGGATCATGTCCTTTATCTCCCCTTCTACTCTCAAGTGTTGAACTATGTTATATTTATATTTAAAAACTCATATTTATGTGTTTTTGTTGTTATTACTTATACAGGATGAAGTTGACTTCTTGCTCGAACTTTTTGAAGGATCATTGAAATACTACCTACTACGTAATTGTCGTAGGTATGATCACCTTTTAATATTATAAATACTACGATGAGTATCCTAATCATATCATGTCATATTATTGCCAAGGTAAAAAAAACCACTTCCAAGGCAAATTATCTACCCACAGCCCGTAATCTTTAACTAAATATGTCAAACTTATTAATTCAATAAAATGCTTTGTAATATTTGGTTGTCTTTAATATTAGTAGCTAAATATTCCATTCCCTAAAAATATTAACTACATATTCCAGCAACTAGATTTTAAGAATTTGAGAATTAAAGTATCCCACGTATACTGACATAGTGCTATTATTAAAAATAAAAAATAAAAAAAAATAAAAATAAATTAAAAATATTTACATACATCTGTCGTAAAAGTAAATATGAAATTTGTTTTAATAACAAATTTAATAATAAAGGTACATAGAACATCAATACGTTTTAAGTTGACATGAAAACACCTTTACAAACTAATTAAAGGCTTGATAAATAAATGAAATTTATTAATAAAACAAATTTAGAGGTAGCTAATACTTGTAAAGCTTTGATAATGGTATCTCTTCCAATAAAATGCCAATTTTAGTGATTGTAAGAAGATTATACGGATGAGTTTATGATGGTGAATAATTTAATTAATTGCATATTTTGACGAGAATAATTAATTAGTAATTGGAAAGATTTTAATTAGAATATTTAACTGCTTTATAGGCAACAAAATATTAAAAAGTATTTTATTGATTTAATAAGTTTGATTTATTTAAATACTCAAAGATTACGGGCATAGATTAAATATATAGCCTTGGAAATGACTTTTTTACCTTAGCAATATCAGCACCCTAAATAAAATTGAGTTTCACAGCCAGATCACGAGATAGTGACATTTGATATTTCAACTTTTTGTCAAGTGTCACGCAATATATATAGGCTAAACTATGTATAAAAATGTCACATTAAATGTCATGTAAGCAATATCGAATAGATTTTTTAAGATTAAAATAAAGTTATTTTAGAGTTTAATTTTTTTGATAAATTTTCAATCTTTAAATACCTTAAATCATTTATAATTTTTAATACCAATATTATAAAATTGTAATTTTTGCACCATCAAATTCAATTTAAATGCTATAAAACAAGATTATTTATAATATATTTTAACCAATTATTAATATATTATTTTGACAGATATAGGAAAATATTATAAGAAATTTAATTTTCTAAATTTCCAAGAATAATGTATATGCCATTTTTATACCATCCAAAAAATATTAGTAGTATTACCAATCTAACACTCATATATAAACTTAAAAAATAACTCAGTAATAATTAGATCTATGATACTCTATTTGATTATAAAGTATTCATGCTATCTCCAAAGTTACTTCCTAATCAAACACTAGTCTGATTTAGTTACTAGTCTTGACAAATGCGTAATAATTTGTATTTTATTAATATGTAATTTTTATTTTTTTCCATTACAAAATAAAAGATATTGTGTAATTAAAAACTGCATATAAAACGATGATCTAATTTGAACTAAATTTTTTTGATCTCATCTAATCTGAATTTTTTTTTTCCTGAACCTATTTTTTTTCTAAAATAAGTAAAAGCAAGTTGAACTGAACAAGAAGGCCTTATTTTTTTTAATCTGATCTGAATTTATTTTTTCTGATTGGATCTAATCTGAACTTATTTATACTAAAATAAGTAAAAATAAATTGAGCTAAAAAAAGCCTAAGTAAAAATAAGGTAAAGTGAAATGGGCCTAATCTACCATTACTCCATAAAACGAAATGTATACGGAGTGTCTTGTAACGTTGTAAGTAGGTATCCCCTCCTTTCCTAAATGGTTTTGTCGTTTTTCATACTTCAAGGTAATTAAAGAGAAAGAAGAAGTTACATAATATTTTTGAAAGTAATGGAATAATATATTAAAATGATAAAAGATAAAAATAAAAAAATAAAAGATAAATGATGATTTTTTTTTTATATCTATATTTTATAGGGAAAAAAATTGGGTTTATTCTACAAAACACACCCTAAAGTTGAAATTATTTTAAAATGATCAAAAATAGGGATTAATAAAACAAATTTTCCTCTCTTCAAAAAAAAAAAAAAAAAAAAAAAAAAAACACAGATATTCTATTTTATATGGAAAAAAATAGGGATTATTAACACCAATACGAGTATTTTCTATTTTATATGGAAAAAAATGTTAATAAAATACCGAAGTATTTAATAGTAGTAAAATATTTGGGGATGCCCCACCTTCTCATAATGACATTTTCGTAAATAAATCAACAATTTTATTCAACTTTATTCAATTGTGAAGCCACAATAATGAAATCAATAATTTAATACTAAAACAGACACCGGATGTGACACGTGTCATATCCACGTGTTGTTTTCTCCCTCCAAAATTTCCCTTCCTTTTTAGCAATTTTTTTTAGAATATATGTATAATGCAATTATAATAATATTCTTTTAAATCTTTTGCTTTGCCTTTTAATATAGATTATGACTATATAATTCCTACATAATTGATGTGTATGTTTTATCAAATTTTATTTGTTAAATTTAGTTACTTTAAAAAATAAATAAATAAAAATTAGATTATTGTGCATGGCACGGGTCTAAGCTAGTAGTTGTTAATTTATTCACGAAATTGTTACATCATTTTAGAAATATGGACATCACATTTAGGGATGGACTAATTAACAACTTAGTTTTCCAAATAAAGAAAATACACAAGTATGATATAGTTTGGTGGTAAGACGTACCTACAACGTTAGAATTAGAGATTACATGCATAGATTACATGTTTGGAGTTTGATGACATGTAATTCCTTTTTATAATTATAAGTAGATGATAACATCAAATGAGAAATAAATTAAAAATTGGATCTCACTCTGTTATTTAGATGAAATAGTACAAGAGGGGGAGTGAATAGTAGTATAGAGGATGCTAGTCACTTTTTGCAGAAATAAAAGAAACTAAACGAAAGTAGAGAAATAGTGCAAGAGAGATCTTTTCTCAACAATCTTAATGCTTCATGAATTGTTCATGCACATCTCAATACACATATTAGTTAGATATTCATAATTTGTTCACAATCATCAAAACCTACAACACATTCATACTAACATAATAAAATAAACAGATATGGAGGACGAGTGTCAGTGGTTGGAGATAGATCTCCACTCCCCGATTGCTTGAAAAAAGCAATTGAAGAAATCGAAGAAGAAACAAAAGACTACAAAGGGATTCATCTTGTCTTAGCAATGAGTTATAGTGGTCAAAATGATATAGTATATGCTTGTCAAAACATTGCTACCAAAGTAAAGGATGGCCTTCTTCAACCCGAAGATATAACCAAGTCTTTGTTTGAAGAACATCTTCAAACTAATGTTACGGACATGCCATTACCCGATTTGCTTATTCGAACAAGCGGCGAATTGCGTATAAGTAATTACTATCTTTGGCAATCAGCTTATAGTGAGATGTACTTCACTGATACTCTTTGGCCTGATTTTGGAGAAGATGAATTTGTTGAGGCATTACGTTCATATCAGCAAAGAGGAAGACGATTTGGGAGAGCATGATATGAATCATTGTAAGATTGAAGCCCTATGTAGTATTTGAGAACGCGATTATCCCTTTTGTATGGAAAGGTGAAACTTAAAGTATGTGTATATGTCAAGGAAGTAGTACTTTCTTCTCAAGAATAAAGACATTGGATGTGTCACAACTTTTCATCAATAACTAGTGTGTGGTCCGGGCGATGCCCTGGGTTGCTAGTTTGTACTTGTTTAGTTTGCTAATATAGTTCGATTGTTTAGATAGTAAGACTTGTTGGTTTCGAGTTTAAGTCTGCTATAAACATTTTTTAGTTGTCAAACTCAATCATTACATAATGGAAATAAATAGTATAATAAGCCATAGATTAACTTATCTAAGTTAATTATAATTTTGTTGGATAAAAAGCACAATTAATAAATGGCTAAGATGGTAAGACTTGTAACTTAAGACTTGTTGGTCTTGAGTTCAAGTCTTTTTATAAGCATTTTTTAGATGCAAACCTAATATATGTTGTGAAGGTAACATGCCATGTTTATAGTGAGATGTGGCACATATTACTAACATGTCGAACTTAAAAAAGGTGGCACGTACAACATATTCTTTTTTAGGAACGCTTTTTAATATATAAGTATAGATAGACTAGTAAGTCTCGGGAGCGTTGCCCCAAATTGCTACTTTTGTAAACATGTAATGAGCGCAGAACTCCTTTTAGTTATTTGATGTCTCATTCTTATCTTAAGATTCTAACATCTCTTTGTCGTATCACACATTCACAACCACATAACTTATTTTACCCAAAAAAAAAAAAAAAAAAAAAAAAAAAAAAAAAAAAAAACTTATGTTACCAATTTTGGCCAATTAGAATTAGACATGCTAAGCTTGCACGGTTCGTTACACCTAGAACTATAAAATCCTATGTAAAAGGGGGGGGGGGGTGTGGGACTAGCATGAACAAACAAACACCGATTAACAAATCACAAACTAGTGGTCAGTCCAATCTAATCAAACATTTTGTTCGTGTAGATATTATTTGTACGGAAATACAAACTTCTCACACCCTCATTTCCACTCACCACCACCAACTGTACTCTCATTCAATCCTACTTCACTTTCTCTCTCCTTCCTCACTTTTAACCGCCCTTATTTTCTCTCTCCTCAACTAAATTTCTCCATTTTATTTGTCAATGATTCATGCTTGAATTGAAGTAAAGGATGGAGAGGATAGATAGAGAAAATAAAGATTGTTGATTATGTTTGTCCATAATTTATGCTTGAATTGGCTTAATAATTTCTTGAGATTCTCGGATTTTCAAAAACTGCCCAAATAAAAACCGGTTTGGGCTTTCCTGTGTGATGTATAATTGTTGAAATTGATTTTCCTATGTGATTTTATGTTGACTTGTGAGCGTTTTGATAACAAATTCATGTATTTTGATTGAGAAATGAGCATGTTATGTTATACCCATGAGCTTGGTACTGGATTTTCATTGATGGTTTTGCGTTGTTGACTTTTTAATTATTTTTATAAAATAAATTTTATTGTTTAGATTATATCATCTAGAATAAGTTGAATGTTATCATCTATAAGATGGTTGTTATCATCTATAAGTTGGTTGATATCCTCTATAAGTTGGATGATATCATCCATTATCTAGATAATATTCCGTATTAGTTCCTAAAATTCTATATTAGTTCAATGATATCCTTTATTATATAGGTTTCATGATATTATCTATAGGCTGGATGATGTCCTCTATTGGTTCTATGATACCATCTATAAGCTGGTTGATATCATTTATAGGTTGGATGATATATATCCTTTAATGGTTATTATATGATATCATTCATAGGATGGATGATATCCTTTATTAGTTTGTTGAATGATATCCTCTCTATTGATTCTATGATATCCTCTATTACTGGTTCCATTATATCATCCCGCCTATATATGATAGTATCTGTTTGTTCAATGATATCCGTCCTCTATTGATTCCATGATTTTATGTATATGCTTGATGATATATTCTAATTGCTTGTTAGATGATATCAATTACAAACTGGGATTGTTGTAACACATATTCTCCAACAAGTTGTACATTTCCTCTATTAAATATTACATATCCTTCATCAAATACTGCATTTCCTTTAATAAACTGTACGTATCCTCTATCAACTAACACATATCCCTTACCAAACACTACATCATATCCTTTAACAAGCTGTGTGTATCCTCTATCAAAGATAAATTGTATATATCCTCTATCAAATACTACATATCCTATAACAAACAATATATATCCTACTAATAAATTGTACGTATCCTCTATTAAATAACACATATATATCCTCCAAGAAGTTGTACATGTCCTCTATCAAATAACACATATCCTATATCAAATACTGCACATCATATATACTTGATGCATGAATTGTTTGGTGCGGCTTGTCGCATCCAATACATTCTCTTAACAAATTGGTAGGTAAGAGAATACAATACTCGAGATCTTTGAAGTTTAGTCAGGACGTATTGCCCTTGATGTTTGGATGATAACACAAGTCAAACTTATGTTTAGACTAATGTCTTAATAAGTTGTGTAGTTTGAAGAGTCAAGTTATAGAGCTATTCGAGACAAAGGAACTAGAGCTTAAAGAAGTAGAAGACTGGTTACAGTGTTTCTTTGAAGGAACATAAGCTTCGGAGTAGAAGCAAGAGACAGAAGACTCAGAGCAGAGACTTCCTAAGAGAATTTATAAAGTCTAAAGTATTTTATATTTTAGGTTTTATGTAAGTGAAAGTAATTTAAAAATGGATGTTTAGTAGAATGCACTTAAAAATTGGTTTTAGATAGAATTTAATTTAAAGATTGCCTTATTATTTGGAAAGTTTGTTTTGAAAATATCCTTTTCTGATTTGTTATTCTAATTAATATCTTTTATTTTCGGAAAAAAAATATCTTTCAAAAAGCTTATGAAACTAATCTCCTAAACTTGTGCAACTAATGTTGATTAAGTCTTCTCCACTTAATGAAGAAACATCTTCTAAGTGGTTTAACGTGCCCCGAGTTTTAGGACATGTTTGAAGCACTGGAAGTAGTGAATGATGGTGGCGTTGATGTGCAGCAGTAGTGGCGTAAGTGGAGGAAGTTGTGACGCTTTAATCAAGCTATATTTTCCTATAAATATCAAAGTTGTTTTTTGGAAAAACTTCACCCTTGCTCAATCATATTTTCTACATTCTTAGTTTTTATAAGAGTCAAGAGTCGCATTCTACTTTAAATTGATAAATTTCATATTTTCTTTCATTAGAGTAATTCTTTCAAGAGTTTTAATTGTGGATTGGGAGTTTGATCGAACTCTAGAGAAGTCACTAAAGAAAGAGAAGAGCAGTAGGTTGAGGGACTTACTGTTGGGAACTCCAAGTTCGTTGAGGAACTTGGAGATAGTCCTGTTCACGGATTGGATATCCGATCCGAAATGTGATTTCGGATCGGATATCCGACTCATCGGATATCAGAAATTGAAATCCGAATCTGATCCGAAAATTTCGGATATATATCTGATATGATATCATTCGGATATTTCGGATATCCATTATCCAATACGAAGTATTATTGAAAACTCAAAATCAAATACAAAATTGAAATTCCCAACAAACCTATCCTTGAAACTAGCATTTTGCAATACAACTTTTGAAAGAGAAATAAACTCCAAAGACCAAAGTTCGACAAGAGAATTGACATGGGTAATATCAACTCAGGAAAAATATCATATCACAAAACAAATTTGAATATTGAAACCATACAAAATCGTAATTCCCAACAAATATATGTAAAAAAATCAGATAAAAAAACGAAATTAACACAAATACTAGAAGGATATTCACAAAGACTAGAAAAAATCGGAAAAAAAAAAACGAAATTCACAACAAATATTAAAATAAAATTGACGAGCAAATGCGAGTAGAAGGAGAGGAGATCTGGTCATCTGGGCGTAACTCTTGTGAAGGAGATCTGGACATAACGGTGGCCACCGACTGGTGAGCGGTGGCTATGAAAGGTAGGGTGACGGGCCTGGTGGCTGAGCATAGAGAGAGAAGGGGAGGAATTTAGGGTTTTTACTTTAGAAGAGATTGAAAGTAAGTAAGTTGTGAGTGTGACTGGTATTTAATGAGGTTCCCCCAGTTAATAAAGCATATAAACACGGAATGTTAATATGCCAATATTTTAATGTTTTTATGAATTGTTTCTTACGTGGAGCTTAACTGCAGGTAACCGGGACGTTAGGAAAGGCATAGCCGTTTTCTCGAATGTCGTTGTGTGTTATTTTCGAATCTCAATTTATCTCTTTCCCGTTTAACTGTTCTCTGGAGAACGCGATCTGGAACTTCTCCATTTCCCACCAAAATTGAGAGAGCTCGCTAGGGAATCCGATGTTTGAAGTCCCAATTTGTCTTAGCTGAGTTGGTACTGGAAGTCATCTCCATCTGTGTTCTCCATCTTTGTTCTCTCCATCTGTGCAGGTATGTCATTTAATCTTGTAAACCCTAACCTTGTTAATTTTCGATTGGGCGAATTATGTGAATTGTTGACAATTTATGTGCGATTGGGCGTAGATTCGTTGATTATATTGTTTAAAATAATGCTGGAAATTGCCCAGTATGCGGGGATGGTAATTGTTAGGTTTGATTTTTGTGAAGTGATTCAGGTTTTGGTTTTGTGATTTTAATGTTTAAAAACGACAATCATTCTAAAATTGGGCTACATTTGTTGAGTTATTTAGGTTGGCTAATGTGTTTCGTACTGTTTAAGTTATTGGAATTACAAGTAGCTGTTTGACTGTTTTACTTTGTTGAGTTATGTAGGTTGGTTAGGAAAGATGGTAAATTAGATTTGGTGTGGCTTATGTGAAGTATGTGATTGGTTTACTGTATGTGATACGATCTTTCTAATAAGTGCAATGTAATAACCCTAAATCACATAATAACCAATAAATCGGCTAGCTAAATGAGAAAATACATGTTAAAAGAGTTCAATCGATTAATTCCACCCCAAATTAAACCAGTTCATTCGACTAATCGAGTAAGCATACCTTAACACTGCCGAGAATACGTTCGCGCTGCCAAATATGTTCGCCCAGAATTGCAGACCCAACGCAACACCAAATATGGTCCCCCAGAATTGCAGACCCAAGGCGGTGCCAACACAAGTGTATTTTCTCCCCGATCTTGATGTTCGTTCGCCGACAAACCCTCCCAGTTACAACTTTTCACTCACAAAATACATTAAGCTCAACAAAGGTCAACTCGAGAGAAAACGGAGTCTTCTCCAATTTGGGGAACGGGACGAAATTCAGCTGAAGTG